GCGGCACCCCACGCGGCCCAGCCACACGCCCTGCAGCCGCCCCCTGCCGAGCCCCAGCTGCTCCCAGGCCGCATGGCAACTCTGCTACTGAGGGGCCGCACCCCCAGAAAAAAAAAAACCCACCCAGCCATCTCCCGTCCCCCATTAGAAATGCCGCTGTAATGTGTCAGCCCTAGTAGGGATACAGCATTAAACGGCTGCAGGATGGTTAAAAAAAAAAAAACAGAACCACAACCAACCAAAGCAACCAAACCCCTCCCAAAAAAAAAAAAAAACCCAGCCCCAAAACGCCCCAGAGGACAAGCAGGTGTGGACGCGTGGCTGGGCAGCCAGCTCACCCCAAGGCACCCGGACTTTGGGACACAACAGGCTTGGCACGAAAACGCCCCGTCACAAATTGCTGCTGCCACAGCCTGGCTGTGCTAATGGCCCAGCAAAAGCCCAGGGGCGGGGAGAAGGGCAAGATGCGACAGCTCATCAACCCAATTTAAAAATTTGCATTGCTTGCAAGATGTTGGTTTTTGGTTTTTTTTTTTTTTTTTTTTTAAATCTGTGCTGTAGTGCCTATGTAAAAATCTATTCTCCTCGGGAAGGCATTGCTTTCCTTACTGCCTAATAGGACGTTACATTATAAACTGCCAGTTTGAACATGCTGTTCTTTCTGCCAGATTGGCTCAACATAGTAAAGTATAATTGTAGCCATTAAAGTGAATTTTATCTCCCTTCTTGGGAGGGACACCTGCATTTCAAAGCGAGAGAGACAAAAATACTAATAAAATAAAAAGCAGAGAGAGAGACACGCACACACATTTAAGGACAAGAACCTCGAAGGCTGTGCCCGCACGAACACTCGCACTACCACACCCCAGCTGCCAGCTTTACAGCTCCGAGCGTTGGCGCTTCGGGCCTTCTGTTCCCGGTTTGGCCGAGGGCGGCCGGCCGGCACGGGCCAGGCACGACCCTCGGCGTGGGCGCGGAGCTCTGCCAAGAGCAAAGGAAAAGGCCCAGCGGCACGGAGCCTGCTCCTCCGCAGGTACCAACCGCGGGCCCAGCCCCAGCCTGGGCCGTGGAGGCGCCTGCTGCCACCGCAGGCCGCGCTCCCCTGGGACGGGGCAGGTTTAATGGAGCTGCGCCCGCTCCCAGCCCTACCTCGGCCGGAGCGGGGTGGCCTCCCCGGGCTTGGGCCACGATCCGCCCCTGCAGCACCCACTGATGGAGGCCAACACTGTCCTCACCCGACTCCTGCTCACTTGCTATTAGCAACAAAAGGCATAGCGCTATTTCAGTCCTTAAAAGCCCCTGGTTTTGTGTGACCAATTTTCCCAGGCCAGGCTGAAGGATCTCAGCTTGCTTACTTATAGCCTACGGAAAACCTCTTCCTCCTCAATTAGCTTTTATGGGATTGTTGAAGACCCACACAGACTGTACTGGCACGGCTCGGACATCTGCCCAAGCACATGTGTTGTATAATGTGCAGAAGTAGGTGCTGGTATGCTCTCTTTATATATAATCATCTTTATGTGGGTCAGCTGCCACCCAGCTCCCAGTAAAACCAGTTCAGAGCTGGCATGTCTGTGGTACACAGAACCTCACCCTCGGGAGCACGGCAGTGCTGGACAAGGAACGCCAGAAACAGGGGCCATCCGTTACCCACTCACACGACAACACACGCAGCGTTTTGCAGAAGAACCAAGACAAGGATTCCAGCACTACCAAGAGATTTGGGGTGCCCCCATCTTATGAGGCCCCAGCTGGAGACAGCTTGAAGAACCCCATTCTAAAAGCACCAGGTCCTTTTCCAAGGGGATCCAGGACTTGGAAGTACTTCCACTGAGCATCCAGACAGGGGTTCGGTATTCCAAAGCACTCTGTATTTTAGGAAATACAGTTATTCTCTTTCCCAGGGTCCAAGTATAGTATAAACCACAGAAAAGGGAGCTGAGCCTGTACAAAACATCCGGACAAGCCTCAGCTTCGCTGATCCAAGCACACCTCTGGTCTCTTTACAGGACCCAAAGGTGGCAGAGGATAAACCCACACCGGGAACTGATCTCAAACCAACCAAACGCGTTTCACCAATGCCACCCAAATGCCCTTCAAATGATGCTAACATTCAGGTGTGGTCACTCCTTCCCAGGGATGAAACAGGATTAAATTTAACATCAGTACTCTCCTTACAGATCCCAGGAACCATCCACCTGCTTTATAGCACACAGCTGCTATGAAGAGCCTGCTCTAGCTCCTGTTCAGGGACAAATAACAGTAACGCTCAGGAAGCAGTAGCGGGTGAGTAACTGTGACCTCCTGGCTCTGACCCTACAAATGCTTCACCGGGGAGGAGCTGCGCTGCTTCAGTTCCATGAAGTTTTGCTTCAGTCACACGCGCTCTCTGCAAAACTCCTGGTAATGAAGCTGGCTGCTCCCTCTGGGCGCTTCCACGCATTACCACAAGGTTTCAAGAGTTAATACAGCAGGCAATAACGAAATCCAGCCTAATGCCCTGGCTGAGCACAAACGATTATCATCTGAACAATGTGTGCCTTAAGAGCATGGAGAGGCCAGGCAAAGTTAAAAAAGGAGGGAAGCAAATCGAGTGAGGCAGTCAGTCTTCCAAAGGAGAGCAAAAGATCTTGGTAATAACGCAGGACCCAGCGCAGGCACGAAGTGGCCCGAAGACTAAAAGTGTAAGAATTACAGGCACCTATAACTTACTTCTCCTAGTGCCCAGAACACAAAGCAAAAAGCAGTGCCGATGAGAGGTGCCAGCTGAGCAGCTTTGGAGTCAGAGCTTTTGCCTACAGACGGTCAGACCAAGGTACACTTTGCACGGTACCAGCAGACCGTACAGGAAGCATTACATCTCGCCTCAAAGAAAACCCCGGCACTGAAAGGGTACCTCAATGTTCACGGTCCATTCCCCTCGTTCCCTTGGGCTGGCAGTTTTCGATACAAGACCCTGTTAGCATCATTCGTGGCAGAAGCAAGGGCACTGACGGGGAGACATACTGGTAGGAAATACGCCGAGATCACAGGTTCATCTCATCCGTCACCAGAAAGATGACGGCAATTTCAGTCCTTCCTCACCTCTGCCAAACCAAAATTGCCAGCTGGGAGATGGAAGGCTTTTTCATCCCTGTATTCATTTAGAGCCTGTCAGTCATCTCGGTGCCTTTCATGCAGCTGGACAGACACTCACCAGTACCCTCTCCCCAAAACCACCGCAAAACTGTGTCTCCTTGTTCAGCGTAGGTATCCGGGCTCATGATCCAGAGAGTCTTTGCTGACCTAAAGTTTCAGCATCAGTACACTCCCCCTAAACACTCAGGTCTTACAATTTTTTACAGGTTATCTCAGTTTGAGGTCACTAGTAGGAACCAAAAATTTCTCTTTGCCCATGAATCTTGGTTTGTGCATCAGCATGAACCTGCTGACTGTTAGCACTTGCTAACACCTAAACTGCATTTCAGCTACAGTTCACTCAGCTGACTCACACGACTAAATCATTAGATTAACACACCAAAACCCCATGGATTCATACCATCCTTCCAGCCACAAGCAGTCCAGAAATAAAAATGACTGTCAGAGAAGAGGGCCTAC